TGAGGTAAAAGTGCGCATGAGTTCATTGTAAGGATTGAACATTAGCCTATTCCAGGCTTTCAGATAGTAGGGATGACACATAAGTGAAAGGCACACAAAAATATGAATGGGTAATCTGGAAAAAGGGGGGCAGTGGCAGTGGCACTTTCTCATTTCATGGGCCCTACTATCTTGGGGCCTGGAATAGGCTACTCGCACATTAGCCAGAGCATAATACCCTGTTTTCATTGTGTGAATTATCTAGTAGTGTTAATAATTGTGGTGCAGAGAAATCTAAAAGGATATAATTACAGCACAACAGCTTTTAAGCTGAGGGGATCTCCTTACACTGCTAGGGTAATTAATCCCAGAATGGACTAGTACCTTATCCAGAGGGGGAGTGGAAATATTCCAGTCACATCACACTACAAAAATTAGGATAAGCTCCGGTTTGATACCTTCACCATAAAAAGGCTTCTTATGACAACATATATGTCATAACTAGCGCTACCAATAATTCGGTGGCAAGATGTGCCTAAAAGGATTCAGTCTTTTGCAAAAAAAGCATTTAACAAAAAATAATACAGTTAGAGTATAACCCCGATTAATACGGTCAGCAATGAGCCTTAAGATTTGGTTGTATTAACGGATGACCATATTAACGAGGGTTTTTCACAAGAAAATGTATGTCCATTTTGCCAGGTGGCCAAAATAAAGTATCCGTAATAACGAGGTGACCGTAAGGTGGGGTTTATCTGTAATTAAAAAATGCCTCAAACGTTAACATGTGGAAGAGTTGTATCCACGCCACGAAAGCAAGCCTATGCTGGGCTCTCAGATAGTACAGATGTCGCAAAAACAAAGTTATTTGAACGTAGGACATGCGTGATCTGGGAAAGGAGACAGTGCCTCTTAGTTTTTCTGTCTTGGAGCCTGGAACAGGCTACCACTCCACCCCACCTAGCCTCCCCTCCCCCTCCCCACTGTTTGTGGGCTGAGCATGTTTGAATAAATTAAGTTAAGTATGTAAGCTGCTTATGACTGGCAAATACTTCACTGTCTTATGCACTTTTAAGATTAAATGTCCCATTGTTGAAGTAGATGGGGAAAAAAAATGGTTCTGACTGGAACTTTGTTTTCTTAAGGATAAAGTTTGATAATCAAGAAGCAATCTGAGTGGGCAGAGGTCATCATCATGGAAAATTTAGCGATACACGATTCACAGAGCAATGCAAATCTAGGAAAAAAGCTTTACAAATGCAAATACTGCGATAGTTGCTTTGACCAGTCATCAGATTGCAAGGCACATGAAAGTCTCACACATGCAGGAGAAAAAGGATATAAGTGCAAACATTGCGATAATAGTCTGAGCAGTTCATGGCATCTTAAGATGCATGAAAGGAGGCACACGGGCAAGAAACCACATAAATGCAAGCATTGCGATAAATGCTTTACCACTTCTTGGCACTGTAGGATGCACGAACGGACGCATACGGGCGTGAAACCACATCAATGCAAATATTGCGATAAATGCTTTACCACTTCTTGGCATTGTAAGATGCACGAACGCACGCATACGGGCGTGAAACCTCATCAATGCAAATATTGCGATAAGCGTTTCACCCAGCCATGGCATTGCACAGTACATGAACGCACTCACACTGGAGAAAAACCTTATAAGTGCAGTTTTTGTGAAAAGTGCTTCAGCAAGTCATGGCATCGCAAACGACATGAACGGAAGCATACGGAAGAAAAACATTCGCATCATGATAATGACTGTGATCAGTGCCTTAGAAGTTCATCGCACTGCAAAGTAAGTGAATACACGCACACAGGCCAGAAACCTTATAATTGCAAGTATTGTAATAAATGCTTTAACCTATCATCAAGCTGTAAGAACCATGAAAGGATCCACTTGGAGGATAAGTGCTATATTTGCAAGTATTGCAATAAGCGATTCATTCAGCTTGACCATTGCGTAGTCCATGAACGCACTCATACCGGCGAGAGACCTTACAAATGCAACTTCTGTGACAAGCACTTTATTAACTCATCAAACTGCATAGCACATGAACGAATACACACTGGAGAAAAACCTTACAAATGCAAATATTGCGACAAACATTTCATCCAGTCATCAAATTGCAAGGCTCACCAGTGGACGCATACGCCGGGAGAGAAGCCGCATAAATGCAAGTATTGCACTAAGCGATTTCTCAGATTGTCGTACTGCCAGAAGCACGAACAGGCGTCGCATGCCTAAGAGAGGTCAGTCATTCAAAAGTATTAAAGGGGCTGTGTCACGGCAGTCCACTTCATTTTGTTTAATTTTGCCAATTACCCGCCGTCAATCGCCATGGAACTTAAAGAAAGCAAAGAAATTACATGTAAATGACAAAATCAGGAGAGATACGTGACAAACAAATGTGTTTTCTGAGCATTATTTTTGAAGTTGCAAGCAGCAGGGGTCAACTTTGAAAAACTGTTAGGCTGAACAGTTTTCAAAAACCCTAACTTCAATCCGTTTCAATCTTCTTCAATTTTGCCCATCCCTGGCATCTGTTGTTTCTGTTATGTTATTTTAACCTTCCTTTAAAGTTTTAAGCGGTTATTTTTAAGTTTCTCTTAATTTAACGGGCACTTTGTAATTTCCTAATTTGGATGAATTTCGCCGTGAATTTCGCTCCTTTTAACACGGAATGAGTCTTAGCCATTCGTTCACAAGAGCATCTTATTGCGGCAATATTCTGTAAGTTTGGAAGTCTAATGCTTTTTGGATTTGTACAATCAGGGCAAGTGGATATGTATTTTCTTTGATGTCGATACGTTTGTGTTCAACTTACATTTAGCTTTGAGATGGACTAGACCACGCCTTAATTTTCGTTCTTCTCCTTATTTTTACTAAAAAACGCGGTAGTATTGACTAAGAATTTCGCTAAAATTCGTATTCCTTTATCGACAAATTGAATCACCTCTATACACCAAAGAAAGTCGAACCCTTAGTTTAGTAAGTCTAACTTTCCTAACACTTGTTCTAAAACCCGGGACAAGTTAAATGAATAAACACTTCATACTTTAGTGTTTGGGGTTAGGGTTTCTGTTTGTCTTTTTTATTTTACTCATCACCAGTTTTTCCAGGGTGTTCCGGGTTTTAGTATGTGGTGTTTGGTACAAGTGAGGTTGAAAACATAGAAAAAGGATAAATTTAATTGAACAAACTCAATGTTTTTCAAGTTTACTCGAATTCAGTCTGTTGTACACGTAACAACTACATGTACGGATAGGCAAACATGTTTTCCTTGTGTTTACATTAAAAGGCACTATGTTTTAACAAATGTGGTAAGGGCATTAATGGCCCACCCAATGGAAAACCGTATAACCCTTTTCTCCTTAACAAGAGGCAGTCTATATGCGTATCTACGGTCAACGGTACGGGGTAACATACGCATACTCGTGCACCAGAAACTGGTGTACCTTTTATGTCTCTATTCTGTTTTGCCTATCCACGCCTCCGTCTGGCCTTTTTGTATATATATTTTTTGAAATAGAAAATTCTAAAGGTCTCAACAATCAGGAATGTATGAGATGACGATGTATCACAAACGGCAAACTTGAAAAATTTAGCCTAATTCTCTTTCTTTCCAGGAGCCATAGCAGTTCCTTAACCCTTTTCCGCGAAATATAATTGGAAAATGTCAAAATTCAACAACCCAGTGCGACCTTTTATTTTGCAAAATGCTAAAAAACAAGTAGTACCATGTATAAATACTACCAAAGAGGTCTCCTTTGAATGGTCACGTGATAGGATTCGGTCTACAGACCCACCTTACTGTTACAAGACGGAAGACCTTAGATAACGTCCAGCGATTTTAGTGAAAACAAGGGTTTGGGTGGGGTGCTCAGTCTCGTGGGCTCATAAAACCTGGTCTTTCAAGACTCCATCATTCACTTCGGTACTAGCAAAAGAGGGATCATTATACGTTTCTGGGAAACCACCTACTTACCACTCCCCTAGTGTAAGTGTTAATGTTGGCTTAGGGGAGGGGAGGGGTAGGTGAGCAGTTTCCCAGAAACGCATAATGATCCCAAAAGAGAATATTGGAACAGAGAGGGAATCTTAAGGCGTTGGCCGGGATATGTGATTTTCACTAAAGTTTTTTATAGAGGTTGTAATTAAACGGAAGTCTAATTCCTGGAACGTCCGCACACTTAAATAGATTGTTTGAAACGTCATCAAGTCCATGCGCAAGTGCCTTAAGGAAACATTGCATAATGTCTGAATATTCACTCTTGACAGGCTCCTGCTCTTGAAAACATCGAACAGAACTCTCAGCAAACCAGCTTCTTATTAATTTCAAGCGTTTAATTGGTCTAAAAATAACTTTGGTGCAACTGTACGCGGCTTCTATGATACGGATATTTCTTATCTTTGTGCGAATAATCTGGATTCTTTTAACACAGATGTCAAATCCATATAGCCCTGAACAAGGTGTCCAGCAGGTGGCATTAATCTATGCAGTTCGAAGCGTCTTTTATTCCATGATACGCGCGCTGTTTCAAGCATCCCTGCATCTTCACCCCACGACAAATCAGGCCACAATGACAAAATCGTCTAGACCATTACCTTGTCCCCAATTTTTTGAGACCCTTCGACTCCGTGACATAGATCAGTAAGTAAATATCCACCAACATTGACGGAAAAAACTTCTTAAAATTAGGAAACGTACCAAAGTATGGAAGCAATTTTTAAGTACGACAAAGGATGTGTTGGCTCACAAAATCGCGAAATTTTACAGACTATTGGGGCGGGGGAAGGGCACAAAGTTGACCCCCTCCGCACCACATAAATCTCTTTAAAATCTCTTGAATTTGAGGGAGCCATATTCGACGCGACACTCTGACACTTGGCACGCGAGTTAAGGCTCTCTTTCCAGCGGTGTTGATATAGCCTTCAAGAAGAGAGTCCTTGTGGACAAGGTTGAGTAAATCATTGTAAAAAGACTTTCTATTGACTTTGTTTATCAGCGGCCATTTGTCACTTCCCTAGTGTGGCCACTAGCCCGCAATGCGTACTGTCGCTCACGACCAACAAACATTGTTCTCTCCACATTCCACGTGGGATTGTCTTTACAAAGTTTAGGCTCAAAACGAAATATCCGATGCATAAAACGATAGTCAAATTTCGTAGTAGGACAAAAGCTAGAAAACTTCGGTATAGAATGGGATTTTTTTGCACTGTCGTTAGCGTTGCGCCCAAAGTATCTCATCTTATCCACGTAAGTGCCGTGTACTCCTAAGTACGAATCACAGACATTTGTGATGTTTTGAAACTTGGGCGAAAACGAAGCTGGAGGGTCGTGGTAAAGTCTCTTGTCGTGGAAAAATATTTTTCTTGTGATTTGATTCAACCACAGGCCGATCTGTTGATCAGCGTGCGGGTGGCAGAGCATTGAACTTTCGTTTTGCGCCAAAAACGTTTGAATGATATCCCGAGTAAAAATCATGAACGCCTCGTCTATCCAGGTCATTTTGCCTCTTCTTTGGCAGTGGAAAAATCCCCAAACCAAGTTTTTTTTTGGTCTCATTGGAAGCTCGGCGAGAAGTTTCTTTAAACACAGGAAGTAGTCATCGTCGATTCTAAGGAGATACCGGAAGTGAAATGTAGCCATGGCCCATTTGATTTGGTTGAGGAAACGAAACCCAAACTCGCGTCCTCCTTGAAGTGGCTGTAATTCCATATCCTTGTGAATATTTCTTTCTTGGATTGCTAACCTGCGTTGAGCATGGTTTGCAATAAAGCCATCGGTGACAAAGACGCACTTGACCTGATAGAAGAAACAAAACCCACTGCATTAGGGATGGCCCTGCTGAGAGAGTTAGGCGTTTAAGATGCAACGACGGCGACTACAACGAGAAGAACGTCAAAAAAGCCGCAATAAGTTGAACAGGCAAAACAACATCTCTGCACATGCATCACGCTCTTTTATAAATTTCTTCGCCGTCACTGCTCGACTACGACGGGAAAATGGCTTATTTCACGTTTAGAACGTAAACAAGCGACGGCTAAAGTTTCTTTCTCTTTCTGAACTTGAATACGGTTGTTTATTTTCCCTTCCCCATTTCAGCAGACGTATTTCTGGTCATGAGGGCCGTTTAAACAAGGAAAAATAAGACGCGTCGTTCATAGGACGCTTCCTAAATAAGACTCAAACTATCCCGTATAAACGGCACATTTCCTTGGAAATTTAGCTAAGGTGCGTTTTATCTAAGAGCAGCCCCTAACACCTGTTCTTCGATAAGACGCGTCTTTGCTAAGTCGCCTCTTAATGTGCCGTTTATACGGGATAGGACACGTCTAATGAAAGATGCATCTTACTTTTCCTCGAATAAATGGCCCCATTGCTTCTCTCCACAGGCCCGGAAATACGTCTGCGTTCGTAAGCTCTTGTCTCCTTACCATACTCCCATCACAGTGTTTCCACCATGTGTCTCGTATCGCCTGTCGTCTATCCATTCTTTGGGGTGCAGTGCTGACAATAATCAACAGCATTACTTTTTCCTTTTTGCTCCCCAAATCTTTGAAGTCAATCAAAGGAATTGGATTGATGTTTGATATCTCTTGTTGTTCCTCATGGTTCGCTTCTTGATATTTGTCAGGGGTGCAGCCTATCTGAGGTAGTAAACTGGGATTTCTGACTCGTGGAGGTTGAATCAAGAAATAGGTGTAAAACATTAATGCCACTGAACAGCAAACAGAGGAAATAAACAGCATGTAAACGAGGAGGGCTGGTAATCGTGGACAGCTCATGGTTCCTTGTTGTCGTTGTCTTTGTTCATCAGTGAGAATTGTCGTTGAGTCTTACTTTTTCACATGAGATTACTTCATCCGGTTCTTCTACTAGGAGAGAATTAACACTTAAAACCTCCTATAAACGACATTCTCTATATCTAGACCTAGCCTGAGAAAACGGGCGATCCCGCACCTATTTGAAAGATTGTTTTTTCTTAGCTGGGAAAACAATAGGGATTGTCACATAACAATGCCCCTATCCCTGAAAACAATGGAAGTGCAGATTAAAGGGGGCCAGTGAAAGAAGAGGTTTAGAACGGTGCTGGTCTACTGGAGAAAACAGCCGACATTTCGCGATTGCACCACTGGTTTCCCCGGGAAATGTCGTCTGATATTAGAAACGAGCGCAGAAATTCCATACTGATGACGTGTCACTACACTGATATGGGTAGCGCTTCTGGTTGGTCGTGCCGCGTAAGGAATTTGCTTCAACCAATCATAATAACTACCTAGATCTGGGTAGTGACGCGTCATCAGTATGGAATTTCTGCGCTCGTTTCTCAGACGTCATTTCGCGGGGAAACCAGTCGTGTCATCGCGAAATGTCGGCTGTTTTCTGAGGCTACTTCTAGGCCGTGAACTGTCTTCTTTCTTTCCTTAGAGCCACTTGCGACGAGTGAAAGAGTAAAATTATGCATTAAAAAGTTAATGGTACAAAAGAGGAAAGATTGGGCTTCCGCCCTCGTTCCTCGCGCGTTCCCCTCTCACGCGTTCTCTCGATCTACTGTGACTAAAAAGAAAAATAAGAGACTGCTCTCAGTCTACTCTTTTCTAAAAACTGATTTTACGGTGGGAAAGCGCCCGGTGACTCGGGCAAAGGGAAAAACTGGATGTATACACCTGTATATATTAACGAAGCGACTCAGTCAGCTTTTTAGCCTCCCGTCAGGAGCTCATGACCCGGAGCAAGCAACTCGCATACTAGGCCTATATCACGGCGTTTTCACTGAACGGTTTATTTTTTGATACATTTTAGGGCACTTTTTACCGCGAAAATGGACGCTCTGCTCCATCTGTGAGTGCATTTAAAGTATAAGATATCAAAAAGGAAAACTAAACTTCATCAAAAAGCAAACAAAAGTTTTTTAGGTCTGTAGGTTTGCTGACTGGTTTGTGAGACTTCTAAAAATCTTTCTAAAAATAAACTGGTCGGTGAAAACACCGTGTCACGAGTAAGTTATGGGCTCCTGCCTCCGTATTCTTGTTGGTTTTGTATTTTTGTCGTTTTTATTGGTCTTTTTTATTACAACCTTGGCAGAATTACTCGCTAAACCAAACAGTTTTGACTTTTCCAATAATAATTTTACTAATTTTAACTCAATTCGGACGTGCAGATAGATGGAATGAGTTGGTGCTGAATGACATTGTTTAGTTTAGGCAAAAGAATATGAGAATTCAATATTCTATCGTTTTCTATCGTATTCTATCGTATATATGATTTGTGATCAGCAGTTAACTGACAGATCAACAGTTGTAAAACTAAGCCAGGTCTTTACGAGAAACTCCCAGAATAAAAAGCGGTCGGTATATGAAGCGCTTTGATCAACTTAAGTACTGTTTTCTCCTAAATCAGTTATAGCAGACATGTTTCATCGTCGTGGTAATGGAGCAAAGCACTTCACTTCAATAATCAACTGAACAGCTCCGTGCTTCATTATTGCAAAACACAGCCGTCTATACCAATATACACCAACATGCACCATAACTTAACTTCAAAGATGATCTATCAACTTACCGTCTTCTCCGAAGAAGATAAAAATTGATTATTTCCAGTTCAACTAACTCACACCGACTATTTTAACATTAAATCTTAACTGGCACCAAGTCGTAAGTGACCCACACATCAAAGCTAGTATTTCGGCATAATGTGATATTGAGTCAATATTGCTCAAAACAATTTTAGCCAGAATGTTGGAAATGTGTATAAATATACTTCCTCAACACTCAGTAATATTCAACGGATGTGATATAAGCAATACAAACTTTCTCAATAAAATATGCAGTACATATTGCCTTGTAGTTTTCCAAAACGTTTCTTTCTTTCTTCTTCTTGAATTGTCCATATGGCGGTTTAGCTTCATTAAGAAGAGCATAATTCCACGTTTTCGACAGAGGATTTTTTGTATGTATAAAGAAGCAATATCAGCGCAAGATAAAAAGCTGACCGCAATCTAACAGTATTGAAGAATTATAAAAATAGTTTTTAAAGTAGTTGATCCTTGTTTCGCGGCCAGCGAGACAAAGACTTTAAATGATACCCTCGATCAAACCGGTCAGCAGTTTTATGGGCAAATCGGGCAGCTTCGGCGGGCCCTCCCGAACCATCCCTCGGTTCGCAATAATTTTCGTTGTAAAAGTTCGCTAACACGATAAGGTTAAGCAGCTTAAGATTACTCATAAACGGTTACCCGAATACTGCCGGTTTAAGTGGTTCATGAATATCAGTCTGCGGAAGTTCGATTCTCGGCCAAACCAACACCTGGTAGCCTCAAATGCCGTTAAATTCCGAAAATGAGTCCCTGGGCTTATATTTTTGAAAGGCCCTTTTGCCCTTTTTGGAGGGGCTTGTATTTGGAGGGGCTTATCTACGGAGGGAAATTTGCGTTTCAAAATCGATTGGGCTAGCCTTATAGTTGGAAGGAAATTTACCGGTTTTGCTTTGTTTTACTTTGTATTTGAGGGTAATTTCCAAGTACAAGCCCCGGAGGGGAGCTTATTTTTTGAGGGGCGATTTAACGGAGGGTTTCTTGCGTTACGAGATTGGGGGGCTTATATTTGAAGGGGCTTATACATGGAGGGGCTTTTTTTCAGAATTTTACGGTAACTGAGGACCAAGAGCAGTCGTTGGTCTAACGTCTGTTAATGGATAACTAGACTTTCAAGTGTTCTTGGATAATTAAAAAAAAACCGCCCTACAGTACTTTCACCCGTAATCTGACGACGTGATGATGACAAAATTAAATTATAAAAAAAGGCGATTGTAACACATTCCGTAGTATTTCGATACATGCACCAAATTCAGGATTTGTGGTATCAGCGTGTGATATAGCCTCGATTACAAGATATATTACTCTCAACTTTACACATTTTCTTAAATGATTTGATCTTTTTGCGGTCAATTCGAGTTAAGTATGTTAAACCGACAGTTCACTCCGACAACTCGTTGTTTGTATACCAGCCTTTAAGCAATAAAACGGCCCAAATCGGCGTCGTTTGTAACCTGTATGGCGCGCCCTTGCCCTTGATCAATAGCTTCTGTGAGGGATCAAAACAAAACCAACAGGTGCCGACAAGTACAACTCCGAGTTTTCTTTGTCAATTCAGCTTATTTTTTCATTCGCTATTTGTTTTTCTGTACTGTGATCTTCTTATCTCCTTCCCTCCAAATTCAAATTTGAATTCCAATTAAAAAGAGAATTTTCAAGCTGTTTATGTACACTGCAAATTCTATTTATTACTTCTTTTCCTATGTTTTGATATTAACAACAGTGAATCTCTCTGTTTTCTTGACGTATATATTTTTAATACAGAAGGACCTCGTTCAAAGAAACTTACAAAAATCAATAAAAATAGACAATTAATTAGTAAACTAAAATAGTAAGCCCTTACAAAAGTTTAAAAATATTTATATACTTTACAATAAACATTTTATTAACCTTTACTTCTCTTTTCGACACTGTTATATTTTTGGTATCTTCGAACCCTAGCGCAAAGAAACAATCGACATTTTTTCAGTATGTCGCGCGAAATGCATTATAAAACACTTATTTGATCATCGGAGACTGGTCTGCACTCTGTCGTCAAAATTATTGTGCTTTAAAACAGTGTAAAAAATAAACGGAATTTTTTCGGCCATAGAATAAAATTGCAAAGTGATATTACTGTAATTTTATTTCATTGTTTCAACTTATAATTGTCTTTGAAATGAGAATATTATCCTTTTAGGCATAATACACCGACGAAAAACAAAAACGAGAACTTTTTTGAGCAAAAACGCAAATGGTCAGTCCTTCATCGATACTAACCTATCAATTTTTTTAGGTATCATACTAGTTCACTAGCTACCGGGCAAGTGGCTTATTAATTCACAGTTATAATAGTAATATCAAATTAATTTTCAAAAAATACATGAAATTTAACATTAATATGAGGCGGCGAAATATGTAATTTCTTGCTGAATATTTTATAGGAACGAAACTTACTCAGTTGCCTCGCTTTGGGAAATGAATTGTGTCCTGGCTCTAACCTTCGATCAGGCTCCATTGTCTTTGACATATATTTTCGGCGTCTTGTTGGGAGAACTTGAATTTTTTCTTCCGTGCCTCCTATGTCGCTAATATATCATTTGTCATGTTTGTTTTTTTTTGGTGGTAAAATTCTGGTGCGAAATAAAAAGCATGAAAATAAAAAAGCGCTATGTACAGAAACAGATTGAATGTAAGATGCGCTGCGAAAAAACGGGCTCGGTTGATCTCAGACTAGATGACTCTACACCGTTAAGCAGCAGTTTTTGCCCCTTTAACTTGCATTCTCTCAAATAATATTTCATAAAAATCGATCGGTTTGAAAATGTCGAGTTCCAGAGAATGAATTTCTTCTGCGGACAGCTTGCTAG